TTGTTTAAACAGTAACTTATTCTACGAAGAACAAATGTTTGTGAAGACAATTTAGCACAGAGAGAATTAGCATGTGCGACCCAGTTTAAACCACTATCAAGAGTGATACCCAGTAATTTCACAGGTTCGGATTTTGCTATCCATTTATCTAAACTGAACAAGATGTTATTAGTCTTACTTTCGTTAAGTTTTAATTTATTAGCCATAAACCAATTTTTTGCCAAAACTAAATGTTCATGGTTTGTAACAGAACCCGTTCTTGATAAAAGTGTTGTATCGTCAGCGTACAGAATGCAGTCATTCAAGCCAAGTGTTTGTGGTAGATCATTTATAAATAACAAGAAAAGAATAGGTCCCAAGACAGATCCTTGTGGCACGCCGGTGCTAACTGGTAAAATGTCGGAGTTCTTGCCTTGAAGACTAACGTACTGCATCCTGTTCGTGAGGTAAGACTCTAACAGTTTATAACTACTATCCCGTATACCGTAGTATTCTATTTTCATTAGCAAAAGTTCGATATTAACGCAGTCGAAGGCCTTCGTTAGGTCACACATTGTCGCGTGAGTGCAATACCTGTTATCCAGATCTTCGACTACGCGTTCAATTAGAGCAACAACCGCCTTAATTGTTGATTGATTTTGTCTAAAACCAAATTGCGCCGGACATAAAATCGATTTATTTTCGAGATAAGAAAGCAATTTGTTTTTAAAAATAGTTTCAAAGATTTTGGATATAATAGGGACAATAGCTATGGGACGATAATTATCTGCATCATCTGTATTTCCCTTCTTATAAACAGGGACCAACTTTGATATTTTTAGAGAATTTGGCCAAATACCCTCCTCAATAAACTTATTGAATAATATAGTGAGAGGAGTAGTTAAAACCCCGATAGCAGCTTTTATCATTTTACTATTTAATGCGTAGTGGTCCATGGAGGCGGAGTTTTTTAATTTTAGAATCGCTTCTCGTGTATCTTCTTCCAAAATTCCAGTAAGGAAGAATGATGATGCAGGCTTAGGCTGTTTATTAAGAAATTCAAGTGGATTTAAAGCAGTGACATCAAAGCTATCAGATATTTTATTTGCAACTCGAGAGAAGAAATTATTAAGCTCATCAGAGGAAAGAGCAGACACCACTTCGTTACTCTTTGTTGACTTTCGCGAACTATTTACTAGATTCCAAACTGTTTTTGATTTATTATCAGATGTCTCAATGGATTCTATATACGCTGATCTTTTTGCATCGGAGATTGATTTACGATATCTCTTTCTAGTTTGTTTGTAATTCAACCAGTTAAGTTCGGAGTTATTAGCATTAAACATTCTTTTACTATCAGACAACTCATTTCGCAAACTTCTTATCTGATTATTAAACCAATTTAAACCATTAGATTTCTTTTTAATATTTTTTAAGGGAAAACTCTGTTCAACACATTCAGAAAGAGTTACTAATAAATTGTTGGCCATATCAGACGCGCTCAAAGTCTCACAGTTTGCAGTAGTACAAGTAACATCTGATAATAAAGAAACAAACTTTTCTAAAGAGTTTTCATTAATTGTTCTCTTTAAGCACCTGGTAGTGTCTGTTCTTTCGTCAAATTTTACTCTCGCGTAAACCGCCAAATGATCAGCAATCATTGTATCACAAACACCTGTTGATATATTAACACAGTTAGCATTATGAATTATATTATCAAGACGACTCTGTGTTGTAGACGTAATTCTTGTCGGTTCGTGTATACTATGCTCGAGTCCAAACGTTCTTAAACAATTATTTAGGTCTAAAATAAAATCATTATCAATAATAATAATAATAATAATAATAATAATAAAAATAATAATAATAATAATAATAATAATAATAATAATAATAATAATAATAATAATAATAATAATAATAATAATAATAATAATAATAATAATAATAATAATAATAATAATAATAATAATAATAATAATAATAATAATAATAATAATAATAATAATAATAATAATAATAATAATAATAATAATAATAATAATAATAATAATAATAATAATAGATAGATAGATAGATAGATAGATAGATAGATAGATGTTTATTGACACTTTTATATACAATTGTACATTTTATGTCACGCAGCCGACATCATAAATGTCTTAGAGAATTAGACAAACAAGTAAAATACAATAAAATACATAGTGAAATAAAATAAAATCAACACGATACAATATAAAAATGGAATAAAATATAATAAAACACGTTAAAATAGTCAATTAAAATACAATTGTATGATAGTTACAGATCAGCAACAGGATGAATATAAACGAACAAAACAGTACAACAACATATAATATTAAAAATTACTATAATTAATATTAATGATTAACAATAATAATAAAAGTTTAAACTTGTGACATATTATTAACAAATAAGAAAAAATCGATTGTAGAATAGAAACAGTGCTCTAACAGGAAGTCCTTCGCTAATTTAAGGAAGCCATTTATAGTCAGATTTTTAATATTTTTTTTACGGTGAAAATTAGCAAATGAGTTGTACATTTTCACATCTGGCTTGTTGTTTTGTGTAATACTAATTCTGGAATATGGAATTACGAAGTTGTCCCTATACCGTGTATTGTACTGATGTAAGTCTAATTGTAAGGGAACTTGAACGTTTTTCTTATGAAACCACATCAGTGTTTCTAGTATGTATATACATGGTAAAGGGAGAATTTTGTAAGTAAAAAATAAAGATTTACAGCTGGTCCCATAAGGAACATTTCCAATTATTCTAATTGCCATTTTCTGACAACTAAAGATCTTCTGTATTGCACTGGTTCTACCCCAAAGTAATGTTCCATGCGATAAGTGACTATGAATCAGAGCAAAGTATACTGTTCTTAGAATGTCTTTATTTACAACCATACTTAATCTACGCATTACAAATATTTGCGATGATAGTTTCGCACATATGGTATCAGCATGAGCTACCCAATTTAACCCTGTGTCTAGAGTAATCCCTAATAATTTTACTGGCTCTGATTTCGTTGTCCATTTGTCAGAACTAAAGAGAATTGTGTTCGTTTTATTTTCATTTAGTTTGAGTTTGTTTGCTGTAAACCAGTCTTTCGCTAATTCCAAATGCTCCCTACTTGTGATAGAACTTTCTCTCGAAAGTAACGTTGTGTCATCCGCGTACAAGATGCAAGTATCCGTACCAAGAGTTTGAGGTAAATCATTAATATATATAAGAAAGAGGATCGGCCCTAGGACCGATCCTTGCGGTACACCATTACTCACTCTTAATATGTCCGAATTGTTGTTGTCGAGGGACACATATTGCTTCCTGTTCGTTAGGTAAGATTTGAATAGTTCGTAGCTATTACCTCTTATGCCGTAAAACTCTAATTTTGCTAAAAGCAGTTCAATGTTGACACAGTCGAAGGCTTTCGTTAGGTCGCACATAGTTGCGTATGTGCTATACCTTTCTTCAAGACCTTCTACAACGTTCTCAATTAGAGCCACTACTGCTTGTATTGTGGATTTTTTTTGTCTAAACCCGTATTGTGAAGTAGAAAATACGGATTTGTTTTCAAGGTAATGCATTAATTTCTCTTTTATTATGATTTCGAATATTTTTGAGATAATGGGGACAATTGCTATGGGACGGTAGTTATCGGAACACTCCAAGTCGCCCTTCTTGTAGATTGGCAGAAGCTTTGAAATTTTTATTGAATCCGGCCAAATGCCTTCTTCAACATATTTGTTAAAGATTGTTGTCAGTGGAGTAGTAAGCAGTTCAATCGCCGATTTAATCATACGGCTGTTCAGACCGTAATGATCAAGAACTGCGGTATTCTTTAATTTTAAAATGGCTTGTCGCGTATCATCCTCTAATATGGCTGATAAGAAAAATGAAAAAGGTGGTTTAGGTTGTTTATTTAGGTAATAATAATAATAATAATAATAATAATAATAATAATAATAATAATAATAATAATAATAATAATAATAATAATAATAATAATAATAATAATAATAATAATAATAATAATAATAATAATAATAATAATAATAATAATAATAATAATAATAATAATAATAATAATAATAATAATAATAATAATAATAATAATAATAATAATAATAATAATAATAATAATAATAATAATAATAATAATAATAATAATAATAATAATAATAATAATAATAATAATAATAATAATAATAATAATAATAATAATAATAATAATAATAATAATAATAATAATAATAATAATAATAATAATAATAATAATAATAATAATAATAATAATAATAATAATAATAATAATAATAATAATAATAATAATAATAATAATAATAATAATAATAATAATAATAATAATAATAATAATAATAATAATAATAATAATAATAATAATAATAATAATAATAATAATAATTAATTAATAATAATAATAATAATAATAATAATAATAATAATAATAATAATAATAATAATAATAATAATAATAATAATACTCTCCCTAATTCACCCCCTTACGAGTGAATTTCAACCCCTGAAGTCGACTGAACGACTTGTGTAGGGAAAGGGACGGCTATTATTATTATTTGCCGTGGCGCTCCGGGGCGACTTAAAGATGATTGATGGTGCCATTTGACTAACAGGTGAGGAAAACCCGGAAAACCTCACCCACCATCATCGAGACGGTAATACATGGCAATTTTTTAATGTGCATGTCATATCAACAGAAATTGAATTTCTATTATTACGGCACACATCAAATCCTAAACCGAACCATGCAATTTAATTAAAAATCCACATGGTCTGGGCTGGGATTCGAAGCCCAGCAGTCTCAGACTCATAAACTTGCCTATAAATGAATATAAGCGTGTTAGACCGCTACACTACCGACCCGATTAATTACGTATGATAATGCTCGAAATAGGCAAGCTCCATCGCCAACAATTGGCACAACAATATGCGAAACCAATACACCGTTAATACGCAATATGCAAAAATTTACTAGAAGTTGCAAAGATTTACCATCGGAAAATTGTGGTAAAATTTGCCACGTATTCGATGGAATGGCATTAATACAGGGACTTGGCAAATCTACTAACTCCAAATCGTTTGGAGAATATACAAACATCTTAAAGGCCATTGTATTTAAGAACAAATACAATGCCGAACGAATTGATTTTGTCGTGGACCATTACGAAGATTTGTCGATAAAGAATTGCACAAGAGAGAAGAGGGGACATAAACATGACGCCACAGAGAGAGCCATTGAAAGCTCAGTCACATTATTAACTCAATAGTGGCATTTATTTATCCATTCGATTGCTAATAAAATGCAACTTGCCAACTTCGTGGGTAATCAGTTTTATGAATATTCGCTTAATTTCGGAGTTAAATTTGTCACCAGCGGATGATTACTTGATGTTCTGCAGTATAAAGCAAACTGATTTAGAAAATGACTTGTTAATTGCGAAACACGAAGAGGCAGACACAAGTATTATATTACATATATTTTCTGTTAAAATGGAAGGATGTTTTGTTACTATTGGCTCATTTCAAAGACGCAGGACAGAAAAGTTGGAAGCAAAGAAGCCGAAAGATTTATAGCAATCCATGAATTGAAAATGGGTTAAATGGCAAAATGTCTACCAGCATTTCATGCACTAACAATTTATGATACAACCAGTTTATACGAATGGGTAAAAAAACATGCTGGAAAGTGTTTTTATCACACCACAATCTACTTAGTAATGTTGACATAAATGACAATTTAGAAGAAGAAAATTTTAATAAAATGCGATTTTATACAAATAACGAAAATATTCATTGCATAAACGACCTTAGAGGGATTTTAGCGTCCTCAAAGCCGATCAGCAAATTATCTCCAACTTTAGACTCTTCAAAACAGTATTGTCTTCGTGTACACTACCAGACTAAAATATGGTTGAACAGTACGATACCCAGACCATCTTTACCAAATGTATCAGAGTGTGGCTGGAAAATTGTTAATGGAAAACTGGTACCAATTTTAAGTACAGAATCAATACTACCTGAGGACACTTCTGCTTTAAATACTTGCAATTGTAAAAAAGGTAAATTATTTATTATTATAAGTATATTATTAATTTAAACATTTTTTATAGAGTGTAACGGGAAACAATTTTCCTGCAAGAAAAAACAAATTTGTTGCATTGAGTCCTGCAATTGTCTGGCTCAAATTACATGTGCAAATAAAGTGAAGAAAGATCTAAAAAACATAAAAGCTTCCCAGAATACGTTATCTGATAGTGAAGAAAATTCAGAGTGTGACTAAATGCTGTAAGCTAATCTTATAAAAATATTAATAAATTATTAATTTATTTATTTACCTATTATTTATTTATTTATTCACAGAAATAGAAGATTCTACTACGGAACACCGACGTCTAGTTACACGTTATTATCAAATTCTTTATTAAAAAGGTTAAATGTTAATTATAAAAAAAATATTAGGTAAAGTGTCCTATCTTCCGACTATTTTACTGCGAATTTGACCAGAAATGCATGAATTATTGTTAACAGCAATAGTTATTAATAAAGAGATTTTAAAAATGATTATATTTGTGTTTTGTAAATATCTAACTGATATTATTTATTTAATAAAAATTTTAAAAAATATTTAAAAATACATAAACTAAAAAACCACTATAATATTCTTATGATGTATCTTTGATTATCACGTTACGCCTTGCTATAGTAACAGTATAGGTGCTTTTGCTGTTTTAAATGAAAAGCCACCTACGGAGGCTCAAAAATACATACGGACGACTGTACCATGTAGATCAGAGGTTCCCAAACTCTTTTGTTTCATAGACCACTTTCAAAATTTTGCTACATCACTACCAATTTCTAAATCTCGGAAAAAAAAAGGGAAGATTAGATCTATCGACGAATTAAGAGTTTTTGAAAAAAAAAAAGGTTAGAATTGATTGCTTGATAGGGTTAATTATTTGATAATAAAGTCGACTAAACAAATTTTCAATTAAATTTTAGTTGATTGTGCTGTGAATGGATGTCAAAAAAGCAAAGTTGGCCAAACGAAAAAGTGACTCCATCCAACTTTACTTTTTTGAAATCTACAGTGACTCACAGCACAAGAACCAATCAATTCTCACAAATTTTATTTAGAAAACGTCCCATTCGGAGTGGTAAAAAAGAAATATAGTATGTTTTCTTGTGTTGTAGGTATTTATTTAAATTTTAATGTATAAATTATTACACTATTAATTATTATTGTTATAACCGTCGTAATATAATTAAAATTAAACATTATAACGTAATGTAATTTCTACAATGGTAGTTACAAAAAATATATAATTTTAATGAGAGGGATGTACTTAATGGATTGACAGCAAATTATCAATATTTGGCTTGAGTTTTGTAAGGAGTAACCGTAAATCACCCCTTTCTGTGATATTCAATCTGCTCCTTTTTTTGTTAATAAGTTTGTAACGGCACTAAAACTTTTTTTGACGAGATATGACGAGGGAAACGCTATCAGAAGCTTTTGCACAATTCCCCACAGTCCAGGATATTTTTCGGGTATTTCTGCATGCAGCCAAAATTTTTGATATCCTCTTTTAAATGTCACTTTCAGCTCCTCATTAGTGCTAAGCTCGAGCAGCTCCTCTTGTAATATCACATTCTCCACTTCCGTTTCAGCAAATGGATTTATGATCCATGGTGGTATTTCCATCGACAGAATATCTTCAAATCTGAATTTAAAATCATCATGCAGGGCAATCAAATGTTGAACGTATGTCTGAATATCTTCATCAAGGTATTCTACCTGCGACAAGTTTGAAAAGTGTGAAAATTCGCCTCGACCAATATTTTCCTTCATAAATTTCAATTTACCAAGAAAAGCTGAAATTACACTCTTTGTTTTTAATAAATTGAGGCTGTCCCCTTGTAATTGTAAGTTGAGGTTATTAAATTTTTTGAACAAATCTGTCAAATAGGCGATGTCTGCTTTAAAATTGATCAAGTTTTTTTTTTAAATCAAGATCTTTACTTTCCGAAAACTCTAAAACTGAGTCAAAAAGTAAATAAAATCTTGATATACATGCACCTTTCGACAACACCAGCGTACTTCGGTATGTAACAGCAATCGTTGGAAGTCTTTATCATTTTCCTCGCACAATTGTGCAAATAAACGCGTATTCAATGCATTGCTTCTTATTTTGTTAATTGCATTAATCACAAATTGAAGCGATTGGTGCAATCTATCACTCAAATTTTTCGCTACTAGATGTTGTCGGTGGATAACACAGTGAATCGCAATTACCTCTGGTATAATTATTTTGTTGCCACCGAAATAACGTTTGCGAATGGAAACGATTTTTCTTTAAAAAAATCACTCGAAACATTAAATATTGATTCACCTTTAGTGTCCGTCTTCAAAGTTTTCGCGAATAGTAGCTCTTCAGGAATTTCTTCGCCCATAACAAATCGAACATATGCCAATAATAATGCTTCATTGCCAGGTAAAGTTGACTCGTCCAGTTGAATTGAAAAATGAGTTGTTCGTAGATAATCACACAAGAAACTTTCAACATCAGAGCTCATTTCATCAATACGTTTTGTACAGTGTTGTTACTCAATGCAATTCTTTTTGAGTATGTCAAATGAAGATTTGTGCAGAACAGTTTTTAAAACCTTTTCAACGGCAGGTAAAATTAACTGTTCTCCAATGGTGTGCGGTTTTCCAGATTTTGCGATAAGTAATGAGATATTGTAAGATGCCCGCAAGCCATCATCGTTGCTTTCAGACGTTGAAGAGAACATACTGTGCACGGTGGGTCTCTTTTCATATTTTTCCTTTAATGTTTGGACATATTTCAAATCTTTACCTATTTTATCAGGATGACACCTTCTTAGATGATCTTTCAGCTTTGATGGTTTCATAGAGTCATTGCTCAAAACTTTGTTGCATAAAAGGCATGTGGAAAATCGTTTGTCTGCCTTTAATGGAAGAAAACCAAATTTTAAATATTGAACACTGTACTGACGACATTTATTCTTAGATTCGGCCATGTTTTGTATCAATTATCTACCTGTAAATGTGTAAGTAAATAAATAAAAAAAACTTTGTTTTAGTAATCTTAAGGCGATTCTCACTTAACAGGACATGGCTATTTTAACATAATATAATTAATCAATTATTATAAATATTATGAAATAAACAAAGTTTCGGCTGCAAACTGTCTTTAATTATTAAAAGCAATAAATCGCTAAGATCCATAATAGAGTTTTATGAAAACGGCTGAACTTATTTTAATTTTAATATATTTCTGTAAATTCTATAGAAACTTTTAAACAATATTTTGATATCAAAATTCCGCAATAATTAAATGAATTAGATAGGTAATAAAAATAAAGTAGGGACGATAAGTTCCATCGTTCTCGGCTTAAAACTTTATGTATATAACAAATAGGCATGTAGGTACTTACTTTTCCGACACTGGCAATCAATAATATCGATTCACTTTACTTTTCTTTTTGAAAGTCTGGAAACAAATTCAGTCACTGGTCAACACTAATATCGATTCACTTTTCTTTATGAAATTCCAGAAACAAATGAGTAACATTATCCTTGACATTCGTATTTATATTGGTGAAGAATCAAACACGTTCGTGCAAGATTGCAAGCACTTACACCACAAGTCGTATTAATTTGCACGTCCGAACAAGCGTTGCGGACGGGACGGCGGCCGGCGCGGCAACTACAAGTCTTGATGCGTTGTACTGAATATGGAATATGCAAGTTTTTACAAGTAACAGTCGCTGAGCTTTTTAAAATATTATCTGCCTATATTGATGAGAGAAGTCAAGTCCACATTTTAGTAACTAAAATGTTGACTGTTTATATTACAAACAGTTGAAGTTCTTTACCAGAATTTCTTCATCACATGGAAAAATGAGTAATCAATTGTTTAATAGTATATTGCTTCACTATCGAAACCAAATTAATTTTCATGCACCCCCGCTTACGATTGTGGACCCCCATTTTTTATTACGCCCAACGTAGACCCCCGTCGAGTCTTCCGTGGACCCCTGGGATCCACCTGGACCACTTTGGGAAATACTGATAATAGATACAATAGCTTGCCAAGGAAATTTTAACCATCCCCGCATCTCCGCGTCAGAGAGCGGTCGTCAGGGCATGCTTTTACATTTTACAGTTTTTTGACGAAACTATTTATTAGATTTTTAATTTCTAAAAAGTATTTTAATCCTTGATCTTTGCTCTACAACGTTTATAAAAAGTATTTTTTGATTAGAATTTTCATTCTTGAGTTTTCACAGTGTAAATGATATTGCAATTTTAAAGTTTCAGCGCGAGGAACTCCATATAAGAGCGTGTTGGGCAGATAATTTAAAATTAAAAATAAAATACTTTCTCTTGGAATTTTGAAACAAAACTTTTGCAGATGATTAAAAATGTTATGTAGATGTTAATTAAGCAAAAAAAAATTGCTATTTTTTTTGGAAACCAACACACTACGATTTTTTGACGACCAGACGATTTTGCTTTTTTATGGTTTAAGGATTGATATATAGTATTAATTTTTTAAATTGAATCTTTAAGTTTAAAATGTATGAATTATTTTTATTAGGTATTGTATTACATAATATTAATATAACTTACTTAAAAACCAAGTAGAATTCATAACAAAATCATAATTTTTAAAATGTGTCCAATATGTTTTAGTGTTTTTGTTAATTTTATCAACTTCAGCCGTTCCTAGTTTTGGTTTTAAATCCAAATTTACATTGTTTTCAAAGTTTGTAGGAAACCTGTACGTGGCAAACAAACATTGAATAGTAATTTTTAAATTTACAACTAACAAAATTCGTAAAAAAAACATTCTAGAAACTTTAAAAAACTATAAAAATATGCCCCAGGAATATAAAATCACACAAAATGTACAAACAAAACTGACAGTTCTCAAGTGCTTGTTGACAGTTGTGAGTACATTTTTGGCGTTGCTATTTAAAATAGACAAATCACATCAAAGACCCAGGAGAAAGAGAAAGTAATAGAAAAAACGGTTCATACTGACTTCAAACAAATCCAGACCGTTAGTTATCTATTATTCATTTGTTTTATATGAGATTTAAATATAATCTTTAATATTTATGATTTTAAAGAAAATAATTTTGTTTATGATTTTTGAGGCTCTTGTGACTTGCGCCCATAGGCTTGGGTCTAATATGCCTATACAAAGTAACTATCCTTTTGTGTATCACATGTACGAATTTAATTTAATTATTATCCGCCTTTCGATTTTCCTTTCGTAGATCATACCTTTCTCTCATTTTAGTTATAATTCAATATTTTTATTCAATAAGTTTTCTTATTATGATGGCTATAAAGCCGAAACTAGTCGCTCTTTAAGTGAATAAAATTTGCAGGTGGTATTGATTTTGAGTTTATTTATTCCTTTGAATAACTTTACCACATTTGAGAACATGTATAATCTTTCATTCCAATGTAAATTTAGTTTTTACCTCCACGTAGATCTGATTAGTGATATAGCACCAATAAATTGATCCTAAAAAATTCCAATCCCGTCACATCCTGCCGAAACTCAAGATTGCTGCTGGACCAAAACCACCGACCTCTCCTTTCAGCGCTATGCCGCAACCCAACGACGTAGGTCTGTGATTTCTTGCATAACACGATTTATCTGCGGAGAGAGAAATAACTCGCGATGTCGAGTTCTTGTGTTTCGCCTGTAGCGGTAGTTGGTATCTAGGTCCTAGAAGGATTTTGCTTTTGCCGAAGCGGATTGTTGTCTCAGAGTCGAAGTTGAAATCGAAGAAGGTGCGACCAAAGAGTTGCGAATTCGCGCGGCTCTTCTTGAAAATCGTGATCTGCCGGACCGAGTTTCTAATTTTTTTTTTTACAAAACTGTTTGGTTTCGGATTTAATAATATTATAAGTGCATTGTGAATTTTATTTAATGATAATTATGACGGCATTGTGATTGTGATTACATTTTTTTTTTATTTAAAGGATAGATACTAATATTGAAAAAGGTAAGAATATGAGTTACTTTTTTTGATTAGTATTCAAAAATACAGGTATAATTTTTTTAATTTTGATATAGTTTGTCTTTGAAAATTTTTACCAAATAGTATAAATGGAAAAAAGGAATAGTATCGTTAATCCGATTTTTTTATAAATTTAGACTTGAAACTAGAAATTTCGATACATAACCGGAAATTTCGACTTATCTCGCAATTCCGACATACAACTCCTAATTACGACATAACTACAACTCGTAATTTTGAATAACAAGTCCGACTTGGATAGGGTTACCAGATTCAGGAAGAGTTCGGAAATGCCCGGAAATTTAACATGTTGTCCGGAATGCGTCGTTTGTCCGCAATTTTCAAGAAAATAATTTTTATTTTATTATTTTGTACGTATTTTTAAAGAAATATCTGGAATTTTCATTAGGTATGTCAGGAAACTGTATTGTTGTATACGGCAAACCTAGACTTGGAGGCACGTTCCGAGGACTACATTTTCAACGAATATCACTGTGACAAAGGTATAGGATTTTATAATTACAGAAAATAGATAAAACATAATTCTACATTATATCCATATTATTAATATAAATTCAAATTTAACAGTAATTAAGTGACCCGTTACTTTGTATCGAGGGGTTAATAATGTTCAACTATGGATTCTAATAAAATTTATAGATGGTTCAACACATTTATTTTAAATAATTAATCAAAAAGTATCCAATATTTTCATTATGCAAAAAAATATAAAATTTAAAACAAAATTTTTCTAAACTGTAAACTGTAAATCTAAATTGAAATCAATTAAGATTATAAAATCCAACGGACGAACGAATGGACGAATGGACGAGTCTACATTACCCGGCGATAAAGCTCTGTTGTTAGGATATGTTCAATATACTAAAGATGAAAATATGTGCCAAGAACTGCTTTTTGCTACATATTAGAGGCCGATACCAGAGGAGAATTGATTTTTCAATACGTGAAACGTTTTTTACCGATAAAGCTATTCCAATGAAGGAACATTGTTTCTGTTGCGACTGATAGTGCATCATCTATGGTTGGTCGTCATCGTGGTTTTAGCTCACTTAAAGCGACAACTGCCTTGAGGTACTGGTTATTCACTGTGTGATTCAGAGACAGCATTTAGTAGCAAAATCTGAGTCCTAAATTGCACCAGTTTTTACAATATGTTATAAATGCTGCCAACAAGATTCCAAGGAATTCTTTGAAATCCCGTTTATTTGCTCAGCTATGTGAGGAAAACAAGGAAGTCTTTACTCGGTTACTTCTGCGCACTGAAGTTCGCTGGCTATCAAGAGGCTCCTGTTCAACAAGATTTTCAGCTATTTTTGAATCTGTGTTGGAGTTTTTACAAGAAAAAGATCCGAATTTGAAACAAAATATGAAATTGTAAAACAGATATTTATTACTTGACTGATTTCTTTGGTATGTTTAACAAAGTTAATTTGCAGCTGCAGGATGGCGATCTCAACTTAAATAAAATAAAATCAATAACCTCGCTTTTGTGGGTAAACTTATCCTTTATAAACAAAATTTAAGCAGAAAAGAATATTCACAATTTCCGCATTTGTCAAAATTACCAGAAATGCTTCAAGACGATGTTATTTTATCATATGTCACTCACTTGGACGCATTACACAAGGATTTTACTAAGAGGTTTGAGGGTCTCTTCAATTTTCAAATTCCTCAATGGATGATAAATCCGTACAATATTACAGACATGTAAGAATCCAATGTCATAATGCAAGAAGAGTTTCGAAGGCAGTTTGGCAGTCTTCGTTCCAGCAGAATTCTCATGCTTCTTCTGTGAGTCGCGTTAGTGATTTAGCAATAATATCTGCAAACTTCTTTATGGATCTTCGGTAGTACGTACAAAGCCCAAGAAAACTTCTTATTTGGTATTTATATTTTGGTTGTGGCCACTTTTTGATAGAAGCGAGTTTTTCCTTATCTACAGCCACGCCATCCTTGCTAACTACATGACCAAGGTAATTAACTTTATTTTGAAATAGTTGGCATTTCTTGGGGTTTAGCATCAGTTGGGCAGCTTGAAGTCTTTTAAAAACATCTTCTAAGTTTTTTAGATGTTCATCAAATGTCTTCCCCAAGACTATGATGTCGTCTAAATACACCAGGCATGTTTTCCAGGATAACCCTCTCAATACATTTTCCATAAGTCTTTCAAATGTCGCGGGGGCATTACGTTATTTAAATGGCATAACATTGAATTGCCACAATCTAGATCCGGTGGTAAAAGATGTCTTTTCTTTGTCTACTGGGTCCATTTCCACCTGCCAGTATCCATACTTCAATTCTAAGGTAGAGAATATTTACTTCCGGCCAATGTGTCTAAGGTATCGTCGATACAAGACAGAGGGTAACTGTCTTTCTTGGTAACATTGTTCAACTGACGGTAATCCACACAGAACCTCGTACTTCCATCCTTTTTCTGAACCAGGACTACCGGAGAGTAGTCTTCCTTCATTTTCTGAATAATCCTTTCAGCTTCCTCTCTCTTGACGTTTGGTAATCTTCGAGCTGACTGACGAATCGGCCTGGCATCACCAGTATCAATTTTATGTTTTAGAACAGAAGTTCTTCCTGTTTTTCCTCCTTTTGGTACAAAAATGTCACGATATCGTCGAAGAAATTCCTTTATTTTCTTTTTCTCTAACTGATTCAGAGATTGACCAGCAACTGCAATCATTTGCTCAAATTTGTCGTTGGAATTATCAGAAGTTGTTGTCTGACGAATTATGGTAATTTGATGGTAATTGGGTGATCATTAACGTTTATAAGACGAACTGGAATTTCTTTAGCAGTCGTGACCAACCCCTTTCCGATCAGAATTCCTCGTCCAAACTCTTCATCGTGGTTCCAAGGTTCCATCATGACAGGTGTTCCTTCTTGCATAGTTTTTTGAAGCCGTGCTACTATAACAGTTTCACTTCTGCCAGGTACCACCGGATCCTCCTGTACAGCAACAGCATATGGATGTACGAATACCTCTTCGGCACCAACTTTGATCACTCTGTTCTTAAAGTCCAACTGAAAACCATGTAAGTTCATTACATCCATTCCAAGAATAACATCTTCTTCGATATCAGCGACAATAACAGTATGAGTGAACTTTTCTGTACCAATTCCCAATTAAACCTGGATTTCCCCATGGATGTTGGCACTTTTACCTGTGGCAGTCCGCAGTCGCAATCTTGTTGGTAGAAGTCTCTTACGGTTATTTATGGTTGTTGGTCGTATAATGGTCCTGGTTGCTCTAGTATCTACCAACAATGTATACTTTTTACCATTTACTTCGCCGTCTACGTATACACTATCATCGCGACATTTTAAAGAAGCTATCCGTATGAGAGGGTCTTTGGAATGGTTTCGGGTCGAAGCTGCCCCCTCTAGGCCGACCCGCTCTAGTTTTCCTGCGGCGTTTTGTCTTCCATCTTAAACTCAACGGCACACTCCGCCCGTTCTAGCTGTTTCTCGAGCGTCAGCGGCATTCCTAAAAGATTCCGTCGTTTCGAGCATGAGTAGTGTGCCAAGCTGAAGGTCGATGATTTAGACAGGGTCGGCTTAGGAATTTCATGACAGTATTATGACACCATTGGTTTAATACATCATTTTTTGCCTCTCAGCACTTTTTCAAAAACCAGGTTTATTGAGATGCGGTCTTTTTCATTATCCTTCAAACATTTTGAGTAACAAAAAGTAAGTTATAACTGAGTATTCATGTTATTTGCAGGTATAAAAAATATATACAAATGTGTAGCATTTACTATAATAAATGTTCAAAATTGCCTCCATTTTCCTGAATACACATTCGGCACCGTAGGGAACCGAATTTTTTTGAAGATCATTCTGACGAAATCGATTTGCACTTTCAATGATTCTATGCCTTTGTTGTTGTTCGTCGATTATTTTAACAGAATACAAGTCCTCTTTCATAAAACCCCAGAAGCAATAGGGTTAAGACCCAAGCAGCACACTGACGTCATTATGACATCTTATTTTCGTCATACAGGACGTCATTTATCCTATAAAAACTAACGTGATAATGACGGTAAAATTACGTGAATATGTCACATCCCAAATGACGTCATATTTAGACGTCCTTTTCACGTCCTTATGACGTTTGCTAGTAGTCTTTATGACGTCCTTATAATGTTTTTCACGTAATTTGTATTCATTATTATTACTTACCTACACTTGATATTTACTGAATTTTATTTAATTATTTTGTCACTTAACCAACCGCAAAGTTTTTAATTTGGTAAGTATTTTGTATCAATAGGAAAAAAACAAGAGATATAATTTTTAAAGTAATTTGCCTATGGGGGTCTGAGGTACCAGTTCATTTTGGAAAAGGGGTCTCTTGCCCAAAATAAATTGGGAATCCCTGCTTTAAAATGTTAAAATGTTAAACATTTTCTTCTCGAACATCTCACAAGCATACATTACTGTAGAACTTATAAACGTTAACTAGATTCTTACTTTTGTTATCCTTGAAATTATTTGACCTCATACAATCAGAAATTATAAATCTTTAATCAGAGATATGTATACTTACCTAAGTACTAGTTATTGTAAAGAGAATGTTAAATGTGCATAGATGTAGTTATATAACTTTTTACTTCAGAGTGAATACACCTATAGTGGTCATCATTTAAAATATCTACACAATTCAATAAACAGTTATTTTTAGTTCTTATGGATCTTATTAAAAAACACTTCCTGAATGTCATAATTATCGGTCATTCCTATCTTAGTCAATCGTAAAATGTATATGATCAAACATGTTTGTCGCTTAAAATATAATTTCATTTATTTATTTAACAGTAGGTATTTTCAACTTCTTAACGGGAAATGTTTAAAATTTCAATAAACGTATTTATCGATATCTTTTCTAATAGATTTAAATTAACTTGAGCGTAAGCCTACACGAATAACGAATAAGAATTTGAAAGTGTATG